CCTGACCTTGCATGGTTAACATCTGATATTTTAAAGAGGGCTGTCAAGTTGATGGGATTTTAAATATCAGTTGGATCTCTTATTCTCCTGATTTGTCCTGCTGAATAAATATTGGAAGACCAAAGGGGTTTGTTCTGGCACTGCCCATCATGCTAATCAAGAAGAAGCTCATGCAAAAATATTAGCAATACGGTGGTGATGGGGAAATAATATAACACACTTTTTTCAATATGCTGTCTGAGGTAGGTAAGACATTGCGTTAGATCTGGTGCTTTAGAAATCAGATAAGTACTTTAGTCCTTTGCATCCTTACCTGACAGTGAATACCACTGAACTCAGACTTATTTAGGAGTAAATATTTGCAGAAAGTTTGCAGAGATTTGGACAGGGTGGTTCTGTCACACACACTGATGGTCATTACAGCATGGGAACTCCTGGCAAAGCATGGCAGTGGGACTACTCACTCTTACCAACAAGCAAAACAATACCAGCAGGATTGAGTTTCAGTTTGTTGCATGTAGCTGTTAAACAGCATTAGCTTAACTGTCATGTGAATCCTTAACTGACAACTGAGTTAGAATTCTCAGTATGCAAAAGAAGGATGGGAGATATGCACATTTTGATTGGTGGGTTAAGGTTTAGAATCCTCAGCTAGACAGCGTGATTGGCTGGAGCTGGACTACAGGGGCCAGAAGAACAGTATATATGACCAAGTACTGGTCAGTAGGTGACAGTTAGTTGTTTGGAGTTGGTGTTTGGTGTTTGTGGAGTCCAGCAGAAGACAGCAGAAGAAGAGGATCAGAGGAGAAGAAGGAAGACCTGACAGGCTGGTGGAGTGGCTTGGTGCCAAAGGCTTGCTGGGGAGAGCTGATTCATTTGGCTTAGGCTAGAGACGAGGGGAAATCCTGTTTGCAGCACCGAGCAGAAAAGTGGGAAGCAGGTGGGAATGTTGGTCTCTGCAGGACACCACAGGGAAGCTCCCATGGCACTGAACAGTGGTCTCTAATAACTACTTTCAGGAACTGGCCATGAAGGTAGAGTAGGACCATGGAAATATAGAGCCCACAAGCCCAACCCATGAGCTGTTCCAGAGCCACCAAAAGATCAAGAACAATCAGGGTCACACTCCCCCAATCTCTCTCCTGACAGGTTGAGCATGGTATTTTCAGTGCCATGACTGGGCCTGAAGTCTAGCTGGAATGGACCCAAGTAATCCATTTCCTCCAAGCATGCTTGAAGCTGGATCGCCACCACCTTTGTGAGCACCTTGCCCCAAAAGGGGATATTTGCAGTAGTTGTTTAACTTTTATGTGTCTAGGGTGGTCTTCTCATGGAGGGAGCGCAGCATCTCCTCCTTTAAGGTGGATTGTTTCTCATTGTACAGCTATACTGAAGCTATTGGGGGAGGGGTCGCAAAGAAAAGGGAGTAAAAAAATGAGAAACAGAATCATACTGTACAAGTCAAACTTTTGTTTTAGAAAAACTTCCTACCCGTTTCCATGATTTGATTTGATCAAACCAGCTGTGGAAGTCATGGGTGTTCATTTTTTTTGAACTACTTCACACATTGGAATTGAAACTGCTTTTGCTCATTATTGCCCCTCCTTTCTGCTTTGTAGGGTCATCATCCTTAGTGGCCATTCTGTTATCCATTTACAAGCACTAAGCGCCTGCCCAGACATCTATAAAAGTAAGTAATAAACAGCCAGTTATACTCTGTCTAAAATGCACAGCTCTGACAGCTCGCACTTCCTAGCACTAATTAAAGCTCACCATCTAAATGTCTCTTGTAACATCTGTGTGTCTGGCTTCAATCTTTGAACTAGCCATAAACCTAACACCTAGCCCTGCACTCTTCCTTGGGGCTTTCGAAATCTGTTCTGAAGAGGACACCACCTTTCCCGAAAGAACAGCTGTGTGAACCCAGGAGGCTAGATAGCTTCTTCCCACATTGTTTGGAAAGTCTATTCAGCACATAATAAATGGGAAGCTACTCACTCGCAGTGTTCATTCATTGCAAAAGCCTGTCTTGGTGTATGTACATATAAGTGGGTTGAGAGGGGGCAAAGGGATGGATGGGGCATTCCACTTTGTCCCCTTCCCTTTATAAACCATCTGTGGGCTAGTTCATAGGGTTGCCATCTTTTCAAAAAGTGACAATCTGGACACTAAAGTTGTTGGGCTTTCTTTCCTTTTTTTGGCAAAGTTGTTGTTGAGCCTTTTTCAGTTTTGAAATTGGGCATTTACACTGTCAACATTTGTTGCCATATGTCCGGATTTTCCCAGACATTTAGCCGATTTCTGCCCAGATATTGCTTTCAGATACAGTATTCTGGTACCTTTTGCTCCCATATGTCTGTTATACAGTGGTACCTCGGGTTACATATGCTTCAGGTTACAGACTCCGCTAACCCAGAAATAGTACCTCGGATTAAGAACTTTGCTTCAGGTTAATAACAGTTTCAGGTTAAGAACGGACCTCTGGAACAAATTAAGTAACCAGAGGTACCACTGTATCTGGAATTTGATAAAATATGGTTTAAAAATGATGCATCAACAATGTGTGTGTCTTTACCAGACAGTATGGCATAGCCAACGTGGTGGCCTCTAGATGCTGTTGAACTCCAACTCTCGTCAAGTCACAGGCCTGCACAACCAATGGTCAGGGATGATGGGAGTTGTCCAACAACATCAGGAGACCATCACATTGGGTACCCCCTGGCATATATATATATATATATATATATATATATATATATATATTGCATGTTGACATGTACACGGATGGTGTATAGCCTCCAATGTTCTGGGCAGAGAGGAAGTTCCCAGGTTAGTGTGCCTTTTCTTCTTTTGTTCCTTAATTACTTGAGGGATATCTTGAGTGATTTCTTGAGTGATATCCTGAGTACCACTTAGGTGGGTCATTAGGTGTGGATTAGTTGCTAAAGCCTTCGTGTCTTGACCTCTTGAACTTTGTGAAGAGTTTTTCTGAGAAGATGGCTGTATTGCATTTAGTTGTGCTCTGGCTTGGCTTCGTGTATAGGGCGAGCTGTGGTTTTGTGTCCTGTGCCAGCCAGATCTGTGTAGGGATTGCAGGGGGGTGCAGCATCCGGAGGTGCCACCATGGTTTGGCTACTGGATGGTGTCTGTAATTTATCTGTGGAGAGGGTCTGGGTTTGGGTCTGGTGTGGTTGATTGGTGATGGCGTTCTGTGTGCCTCTGGATCTGGTGTCGGTTTTTGTGGGGAGGGCTAATTTCCAGATGTCTGGCAGGCGGGATGTGTCGTCACGCTTGTTCATGTTGTGAGGGTGTTTCTCTATCTCGATGGCTTCCATGATTATTCTCTTGTGGTGATGTTCCATGTTAGAGAGCAATTTGGAATTTTCCTTCCCCCCTCTTTTTTGGTAATGCATTTCTTTTCTTTCTTTTTCTAACAATGCATAAGTGGCCATCCTTTCCTCTGCTCAAGCATCAGGAGTTAGATCACAAGTATCGCTCCTCCCTTAACTCCTAGTGAAAAATCCAGGTCATGTATGCACTGCTAACTTGCATTAGTTTCATACAGTTTATTACAAATGGAACAGACACAGCAGCAATCTATTTTAAGGCCCAAGGAGGAAATATTTACACCAGCATCCACTCAAGAGTCTTCATCAGATATTGGTGTCCTTAAAAAAAAAAGAGGCCCAAACCTTATGGCCTTATGGTTATTATATATTATTCATGTAATTTAAGTAGAATTTGCTTTCTTTCTTCTTCTCTCCCCATTCCTTTTCATATTCTGTTTATTAGACTGTATGCCTGCAGGCAGAGACTATGGTGCTTTTAATCTTGGTATGATGCTTATAGAACTTTAGATGTGTTAGGTGTGTTAGCAATAATTATCCTAATAGTTTCTTCCCCCAAAGAATCCTGGTAGTTGTAGTTTAGCAAGGATGCTGAAGCTTCTGTGTTAGGAAAAGGTGGCTCATATTGTGCACATCTGTAAATGTCTACTCAGAAGGTGGCCCTGTTAGGTCCAATGGGGCTTACTCCCTGGCAAATGAGTGCAGGAGTGCAGCTTTCAAACACTTCCAGTCCTTCCTACGCCATCGCATTCTGGCCAAGCATCAGCCAGCAGGATTGCACACTCTGCAATCAGCTCTTGGTGTTTGCTGCCCTGGGCTGCTTGGGAAGGGCAGTATATTAATTAACAAGTGAAATATAAGAACTAGAATTTTTAACTTTATATTCTGAAATGTTCCATTTGATGTTTTAATGTAGGTTGTAAACTACTTTGAGATTTCCCCCCTTTAAAATATGAAGCAGTATAGAAAAAGAGTACTGATTTGCAACCTAGCTGTATTATTATTATTAAATTTTGCAGCTGTACAACTGAGGGCTAGGGAGGTGGAAGGGTGGGGAATTATTATGCATTCATTGTTTTACTAGCTTCGTAAACTCATAAAATCAAATAAAAATAATTTTAAAAAGAAATGAAATTAGCCAGATCTACCAGTAGATCCTTATTTACTCACATCCCTGATTTATGGGATAGAGACCCAGTTGCAGGGTCATTACAACAGAGCGGGTGAAATTAGCGTGGGTGTTTGTTTTTTAATAAGGACCAGGCAGGAGGAGCGAACTAGGCCGCCGCGAGCCACAAGGCAGCGGAAGCTCCTTTCGCGGCGCAAGAAAGCAAAAGGCGAGGGGGCGGAGCTAAGGGCGGGAAGAGGCGGGGACTGCAGCAGCCCGGGCTTGCTCCCTGACTGCCGATTGCTTTGTTGGTGGGCGGAATCCAGAAGAGTCCATTATTCCCACTAGCGAGGGGGAGCGCGGCTCTCCCTCAACCCCCTCCCCCCCTAGTCTTCAAAGACGGTTCAGACTTTCTGTCCGCGCGGGCTCCCCGCTAAGCTGACGGCAGGCTGCGAGCTGCGGGGGCCGACGGAGCACCCCGCGCTCCCTCCCTCCGCGTTGCTGCTTTCCTCACCCGTCCCTCCCCCCCGCCCTGCCGGAGGGAGATGGTTCGTTCCTCAGCGCGCGCGCGCCCTGATCCCGCGGTTCGGCGGCCGCCGCTGCCTGGGAGGGGGGAAGGACGAGGGAGACCCGGGGCTTCGCGAGGGGAGCCTCGGCCCAGGACCCGAGGCGGCCGCTCTCCCCGCCCTTTCTCAAAAGCCGCCCAGCCGGGAGGGACCGTCCATGGCGAAAGAAGCCGAAGAGCGGGAGCTGAAGGTTCCCGAGGAGATGTTCAAAGATGTCAAGTTCTTCGCCGTGGGAGACATAGGCGCCGAGGTGCGTTGCTCGGGCGGGCTCCCCTCACGCGCGCCCAGTCCGCCTTCGGGCGCCTCAAATCCCGTAAGACGACGCGGGCCACGCGCTGACAGCGGCTCGCGCCGGTTTTTTGAGCGCGCGGCCTCTCGGGAAGGGAGGGGGGATTTGTGGGGCGCGTTCGAACCCCCCCCCGCCCTCCCCCGCACGCCTTGGCGGCCGTTAACGGCTCCCAACGGCCGCCTCCCCCCCCCACCTTTTTACAGTATTTCTGTTGCCGGTGTCTCGCCGTCCCGCGCGCCTCTTGGAGCCGGGCAGGCCTTACGGCGGCCTCTGTTGCCTGGCTGGCTGACTTGACTGACTAGGGAGGCGGCAGAGGAGGCTCTTTTCCTCCCCTCACGGCTTCCCCAGAGTGTGGGACCTGCCCTGCGTCCCTTCCCTCCTGGCGCAAACTCGCGCTCTCCTCTTTTTCGGCCTGAGTTGGGGACGCGGCCAGGACTAGGCCCCGTCCTCGGTTTTCGCCGCCTGCTTTCCTCCTCTTCACCTGGCAGGCGTCCCCTCCTTTCCCCGAGGAGCACAGTTTTATAAATCCGAGGGAAAGCGGAAGGAGGGCCAGTTCGAGTAAATGGCACCTAACCGTGTAGGGAAGCTTTTCCCGACGGTAGTCCGGCTGCAGGGGAGAGAGAGGCGCGGGTGTAAACAAACTTGCCCCCGAATTTAAAAAAAAAAGGGTTCGCAGGGAGAGGGCTTGGCTGTGTCCCTTCCCCTGAGGTGGTAGTTTTCTGCATCCAAGGCTGTGTAGGGGGAACATTAAATATCAGCCTGGAGTGGTACAGACAACAGGAAATCTTTTCTTCTTTATTAGCTGGCCCTGGCTGCATCAGAGTGTTCACAGCTGTCTTGAGGCAAGGCACAAGTCCCATTAACAATGTCCCTGGTTATTGACATCTCTTGCCATTTTGTCCCTTGATCCTATTTCTGTCCAGCCTTGTAGGCAAAATAATTCATCTCTACCTTCACTCTGATTGTTTTGGTAGCTTTTCTTAAATTCATACACACCCATATCAGTTTCTGGATCCTGGACAAGCTTCTCATCCTTTATTTTCAGTACCCTGTGTGTCTTGCTTCTTGTGTCTTGCTTTTGTGTCTTGTTTCACACAAAAATGACTGAAAATGTCTCTCGGAACACCTCGGTTACACTGCCTCTCTTCCTTCAAACCTCTTCTTAAAACACATTTTCTGCAAAATCTTTAACTCAGCTACCAAACCTACATACCCTGTTCCAGCTAATCTTAAGTACATGCAAATGAAATAAATATTCTTCCTCTGTGCACCCTGGCCTCCATTTCTGTCACCTTTCTCTGGTGTAAACCTCTATATCATCCTATATGATAAAGATGTGAACAAATGCATTATACTTAGATTTTCACACTGCTACTGGAAATCTTTCATATGCAATCCACAATCAGTGGTAAGCCTGCAACAACAGCATCAAAACAATGAAATGGAATAGTAAACAAAAGTGAATTTAGAATTCAGATTCCTTTCATGCAAAAAAATTGATTTGGAAAAGGCAATGAAAAGAAATGTTTGCATCACCTTGCATTTCACTTCCCACTGCAATAGCCTATAATGTGCCTATTTGTGCCTGCTTGTATTGCCACAGTAAAAGCTGGACATGATAGGAGACCAGGGTGAGTAGCTCAGAGTCCCATGGTTGTCTGTTGCAGTTTGGCTGTGCACAAGGAGTGCTTATCTGGGGAAAGATCTGGCTTTAATGTAAACAAGCCTCTAGGGAAAAACACTCGCTTCAATAGTGTCTAACATCTGCATTTTCCTGAAAGTGAAAACCAAAAGTCCTCTTGTTTTGTAGGTTATTCAGCTTTTGAAAGATGGCAAGGCGAAGGAGGTTTCTTACAATGCTCTGGCATCACACATCATTTCAGAAGATGGAGACAATCCAGAAGTTGGTGAATCTCGTGAAGTCTTTGATCTTCCAGTAGTAAAAGTGAGTACCTACAACATTAGAATTGATACTTTTAACTACAGTAAACCTAATTTAAGTACAGGACCTTCAGGGTTATTCATATCTTAGAATCAGCACTTGAGTGCAAAAAAAGTGTACTATATGTGGGTGTATCCAGAACCTGAAATGTGAATGCGGCGATCCATTTTACTGTAAGTGTGCTTATGATGAGAGTACTATATATTAATTCAGCACACTCCCTCTCACCCTCAAAATGGAATAATGCTAGCAAGATTGCTGTCAACAATTATCTGGCTGGCAAGGGAAAGATATTGCTTTATTTATAAAATAACATAAAAATATACATTACCATGAACTTGTAGAAGTTCGCATGATTCTTATGCAGTGCTTGGGAATGCTAATAACAAGGGAGTGGTCACAGCTCAGTGATAGATCACATGATTTGCATACAGAATGTTCCAGGTTCTGTTCCTCTCCTCTTCAGTTATGAGTGGGGAAGCCTGCTCTCTGAAACTTTAGACAGCCACTGCCATTGTAGTGTAATATAGATAATATAGAATAGAATGAACCAATGTTGACTTAGTGACCTTGTTTCCACACCCTGATAAGCCAAACTATGACTTACAGAGAGTAGCTCGCAGCTGCTGTGCTCCTCCCTGGTATTTTTTTACTTCTGCACTGTGCTGTGCTAGGCCAAGGTTTGGTTTAGTAGTACATTGTCCAAACCTGGGCTTGTAATAAACCTGTCTCCTCAATAACCATAAGCTGGCTTTGAAGACATGCTAAACCATACCTTGACTTAGTTCAGCACACAAGTAAAAAGTACTGGGGAAGAGCAAAGTGGCGGTGAGCACCTCTCCAGCCTGCATGGTCTCAGTAAGCTTAGTTTGGCTTCCTATGCTGTGTGAAACCAGGGCACTATAAGGCAAGTTCCTGTGCTCCTGTCAGTAGATGTTAAATAGCTGATTGGTTAATTTAAATTTGGTACATATTTGTTAAATAGACAGCTATTTATAGGATGTAATGTGCATTGTCTATTGGCAACTCACTACATGCATTATTTTCACCTGTTTTTAGCCTTCTTGGGTAACTTTGTCGGTTCGATGTGGAGTTCTTCTGCCGTATCCTTTTTGGTTAAAATGTTAACATATGTTATGTTTATTTAAAACTTAATACCAGCAGAATGTTGGCTAGCACAGCAGCTGTTCTAGAGGATTAATTCTTTATATGACTGAGGCAGTGTTAGTGGATTGTTGCCTTGACTGGATAGATGGGAGGTTGCCTGCTCTTACACTCTCTCTGAAGACATGAGTACACAGTTTACAGGTACCATTGCTGTCACTTGAGGCTCAGGTGGCCTCAGTGGTGTGGAGTGCCTTCCATCAGCTCTACCTGGTGGTCCAGCTGTGCCTCTTTCTGGACAGTGATAGCTTAACCTCTGTCATCTATGCTCTGGTAACCTCTAGGTTAGATTACTGCAACACATAATACGTTGGGCTGCCTCTGAAGACGGTTTGGAAACTTCAACAGGTGCAGAATTCTGCGGCCAAGTTGCTCACCAGTGCAAGATGGTTTGAGTATATCATACCAATCCTGGTCCAACTGCACTGACTGCCGGTTAGTTTCTGGGCCTAGTTAAAAGTGCTGGTTTTAACCTATTAAGACTTAGGACCGCAATACCTTAAGGACCGTCTCTCCCTATATGAACTGCCTCAGACACTGCAATCATCACCTAAGGCCCTTCTTCATGTGCCTCCTCTGTGAAAGGTCTGGAGGGCAACAACTTGAGAATGGACAGTTACAAGTGTGTACCTGGACTCACATGTGCACAGGCAGCACTTAGGTATGTTCAGTTACAGTGTAGTAGGTTAGAAAGTTAGAGGCAAAGGCTATAAACATGTATCAGGGAGTAGAGTAAGTATTGGGGAACTCAGGAGGACAAACCTCCAGATAAACATGCATAGGATTAAACTATTAAGCGATATGTTTGGATCACCCATTTATTTTTGTGGTTGATGTGTGACTCTAACCTGAATTGGTGAGACCCAAGTTGAAGATTAGGAAACAACCTATTATTATTACCTGTATTATTATTATTATTATTATTATTATTATTATTATTATTATTAGAATTTATATACCGCCCTATACCTGGAGGTCTCAGGGCAGTTCACAGAATAAAATACTTTAAAAAGTATTCATAAGATTTTTCTTAGCTATTTGAGAAGCTTTTGGTAAACTTGCACCAGTTATTCACTTTACATCTCATTTATATTATATCCTTGACTTACTTTTGTCAGAGTAAATGGTTTCTCCCCAGAATCCTGTCAGATATTTTTTGGAGTTGCTGCTTGTCTGTCTCAGGTAAGAAGTTTATCCAGATAGTTGTATGTTTATGCTGATAGCCAAATGATGTGTCAGGGACGCGGGTGGCGCTGTGGGTAAAAGCCTCAGCGCCTAGGGCTTGCCGATCGAAAGGTCGGTGGTTCGAATCCCCGCGGCGGGGTGCGCTCCCGTTGTTCGGTCCCAGCGCCTGCCAACCTAGCAGTTCGAAAGCACCCCCGGGTGCAAGTAGATAAATAGGGACCGCTTACTAGCGGGAAGGTAAATGGCGTTTCCGTGTGCGGCTCTGGCTCGCCAGAGCAGCGATGTCACGCTGGCCACGTGACCCGGAAGTGTCTCCGGACAGCGCTGGCCCCGGCCTCTTGAGTGAGATGGGCGCACAACCCTAGAGTCTGTCAAGACTGGCCCGTACGGGCAGGGGTACCTTTACCTTTTAAATGATGTGTCAGGAAGTGCTTTTCCCTAAATATCTAGTGGTAAAATTTTTACCTTTTCTGATAGGTTTCCACTGAAGACCGAAGTACACTGTGGGCTTTGATTACGTTTTATGGTGGAGATTGCCGGCTGAGCCTCAATAAAAAATGCACTCATTTGATTGTGCCTGAGCCAAAAGGGGTAAGAGTTTTATTATGTGGACATATTTCCCATTTTAATGTTACTTTGCCTTGCTGAGATAGAATCAGCATGATTTATACAAAAAGAGCTTCCCTTGTCAACCTTTTACATTTTTTGGAGGGATCCATTCGATATGTAGCTGGGAGTGATTTATAAGCTTTTCATTTCAGAAAGCTTTTGATGAAATCAAAGAAAATTGGCATTCATGTTCATGAAGTACTGGTTCATTTGTGTTTTGGTAAAAGATTAAAATATAGAATGGAGAGTAGCAGTAAATTGCTAATTAATTTTCACAGTGGAAGGAAGTTAGACTGGGATCGCCTAATTATTTTTTATTTTGTGAAACATAACCCAGTATTTAATTTTATAAATGATCTGAGGTTACAGTGGGATAGCCAATTTGCACTAAATATTCAGAAAGGTAAAATGGTGAGCAAATTATAAAGATCTTTCATCAGGCAGCAAATTATTTTGGGTAGTACAGCTAAATATGGATGTGGAACCAAGACAGCTTTACTTTTTTGCTTATATCACATGAACCTCAGTTTATTCCAGCCTTGTAAACCAGTCTGCAAAAGTTACTACCTTGTAATAGAAATCAGTAGCCATATTTTTGCTGGGATCAGAAGTTGGTGTACCCCTTGCATTGCAGCCTGTTCTGCTGGGTACAGGGAAGGAAAAGAGGGCTGCAAACCTCTGCCAGTCCACTCACCTCCATGTGCTTATCTGCATGAAATTCCTTGCTGTGAATGGCTACCAGGCTAGTGCTTAAATAAAAGGTTGATGTATTCCTGCTATTTAAGTCTCCAAGTTGCATTTATTTGGCTGGAAAGCCCTTCAGTGTTCTCAAATACTGTATCAATACTTTTTTCAGCCTGTATTACACAAGAATTGCTGTGGTAGTTTAAACTTCCTCACATCAGGACTGCCTGATCACTAAAGTACCTAAAAATAGGATGTTGGCACCTATAATTTCTAACTTTTTTTGTATTTAGAAATTTAAAATGCTTATCTCTTTTTGCCAATTTTTCTCTTTGCCTTTTTCTTTCTCTCCCTTGTTGCCCAGCAGTCTACAAGAAAAGGAAAAGATCGCTCTTGTCAGAGGTCAGATTGATAGCTTTCAGAGTGTTTTTGAAATTGGTCTGAGGGCTGCAGGTTGTCCACTCACATTTTAGAGGACTGAGTAACTAACTTTTTAAGGAGTTTATAATCTTAGAAGGAGTTTATAATTTTATTTATTATTAGTAACCAGGAATGTAACTTGTTGAGCTGAAGTAAACAAAACTAAACATTAGTTATCTAAAAGCTAAATTGACTCATAATTGGAATGTTTTTGTTCTTCTCAGGAGAAATATGAATGCGCCTGTAAAAGAGAAAACATTAAAATTGTGACACCTGACTGGGTTTTGGATTCTGTATCTGATAAAACTAAAAAAGATGAGGCTTCCTATCATCCACGATTAATTATATATGAGGAAGAGGAAGAAGAGGAGGAAAATGAAGATCAGGATTCTCAAAATGAAGCCAGCACAGATGAAAAGTTGTCAAGTCCAGCATCTTCTCGAGAAGGCTCACCTTTGGGTGATCGAGCTTTTTCACCTAAATCTATTGATGCTGATAAAACGAAAGGAGAACTGATGTTTGATGATTCATCAGATTCGTCTCCTGAAAAGCATGAAAGAAATTTGAACTGGACACCTGCTGAAGTTCCACAGAATACAGCAAAGCGCAGATTGCCTTCAGGCAAGGATTCTGGATTGATAAATTTGTGTGCCAATGTCCCACCTGTCCCAGGCAATATTTTGTCCTCTGAGATGAGAAGTAATATAATGGCTTCAGTACAAAGTCCTCAAAGTTCTGGACGTCCTGAAATGATGGCTGCATGGAGTCCTGCAGTACGGACATTAAGAAATATTACCAATAATGCTGATATTCAGCAGGTTAATAGACCATCAAATGTTGCGCATGTAAGTATCTTAAAGTACAAGTTTTAAAAAATGTTTGGAAGTGAATAGTTTTTATGACTTGGATACTATAAAATACAAAGAATTGTAAGGAGTACAACTAGATAACGCATGTGAAGTGGTTTTAGTTCCAGAAAACACTATACAAATGCTATGTTGCACTCACACAATTACAGAAGTTTTAGTACATTGATTGCAGTGGTAACTTGGTTTACAAACTTAATCCATTCTGGAAGTCCGTTCTTAAACCAAAGCATTCTTAAATCAAGGTGTGCTTTCCCATAGCAGCAGGGGACTCAATTTACAAATGGAACACACTCAGCAGGAAGCGGAACATGTTTTGCTTCCAAGGCAAAGTTCACAAACCAAAACACCTACTTCCGGGTTTGCAGCGTTCTTAATCCAAGTTGTTCATAAACTCAGCTGTTCTTAAACGAAGGTACCACTGTATATGAGTTTAAATTTTCTTTCCGGTGATTTTTGAATCCTTTAATGTAGCTGGGCATAGTCTTTTCATATTTTATCCTATGCTTGTACGTGTGCAGAGCCACTTACTTGCCCTTTTACTTTACCAAGGCCTGCAACATGCAGAAGTCTTCTAAATTAAAAAGAAATAGATGATAGAAAATGTGAAAACATGTTCTTAATTGTGCAAGTGAGCAAATCAGACACAGTGCTGTGGAAATGAGGCAAATATGTAACTCATATGCAATTCGAAAGTATTCTTTAGATCAGTAAATATTTTCCCCCATGGTAACTTAGCATTCCATGATTACTATTTGAGGGGTTCCCTTCAGGGTTTTTTCCTTTAAAAAATTGTATTTTCTTTACATTTTGTTGCCTGCCTTAGCCTTCTGATACATCTCTTAGGTGTGAATAGTATCATTTGGCTGCATAAGTACCAATGCTCATCTCAACTTCAGAAATAGAAGAAACTACTTGAAGAGAAAAATGAGCACAGAGAATTTTTACTGTATATTTCTTTTTAATTATGCTAGCCTTTCTCTTAATGTGTGAAGTGTAGAAGCATAATGCTGTGTTGCATGTTTTATATCACACCTTCTACAACATTTACCTACCTCCATGCGATCTGTATATTGGGACCTCTTGAAAATTCTCCCATTTGCCAATGAATATAAACAAACTTTCTGTTAATTTGTATTCAAAATAACTGTTTTGTGGAATAACTAAATGCTTTCCTCTATTAATTAGACTTCTAATAAAGTACAGTTTTAGTTGAATACATCAGAAAGTTTTCAGATTTGATTTATGCTTTTCTGTTTTCAGTGAAATGTTTTGAAGGAAAGTTTACATGCATCCTTTTGTTTTCTAGATCTTGCAATCACTTTCTGCTCCTACAAAAACTTTGGAGCAGCAAGTAAACCATAGCCAGCAGGGACATTCAAATGCTGTGTTGCTTAGTCAAGTTAAATTGACTCCAGAGACACACTTACTACACCAGCAGCAGCATCCACCTCAGCAGTCACAGCAGCAGCAACAGCAACAACAGCAGCAGCAGCAGCAACAACAACAACAGCAGCAGCACCTCCCTCTCTTGCATCTTCCATCCCAACAAATTGTGCAGTTGCAGCAACAGCAGCAGCCAGCAGCCTCAGATTACTCAACAGTCTTTCTCTCAGCAGCCTCATCAGTTTGTGCAACAGCAAGTTCATCAACACCAATTCTCACAGCAGCAGTTACAGTTTTCTACACAACAGATACATTCTCAGCAGCAAGTACATCGTCCTCAACAACAGTTGCAATTTCAGCAGCAGCATGCCTTGCAACAGCAGTTGCATCAGCTACAGCAACAGCAGCTACAGCAACAGCAGCTGCAACTACAGCAGCAAAACCTTCAACAGCAGTTACAGCAGCAGCAACTACAGCAGCAACATTTGCAACGAATGCAGCAGCAGCAGCAGCAACAACAACAACAAATGCAAAATCAAGCATCTCAACTCTTGACCCAGACTTCTCAGACATTACAACATCAGGTTCCAGTTCAGCCATCGCAGCATCCTCAGCAGCAACAGTTGCAGCAGCAGCAGCTCTTTGGGCATGATCCATCCATAGAAAGTTAGTAATTTTGTTCTCGTGTATGTTAACTGAGGCTTTAATTACACTTATTTAAATAGAACACTCCTCGCCCCCCTTTCTGACCCAGTGGGTCTACAATGTGTCTTACAAATCTAATTAAAAGGTTCATGTTAAAACTGTAAGAGTGACGATATAAAACATCAGACAAGCAGTAAAAGAGCAGCTGAGATCAGAGCAAGCAATTCCCCAAACAAAATACCAATGGTGATCTGATTGCAACCTTCTTTGTTGACAGCTTGAAAACCAAGAGTAGAGTAAGGGAGAACAAACCACATCTGGAAGTGAGTTTCTCAACATGGTGCCATGGCCAAAAAATTGTTTCAGCTACAAACTTTCATGTAGGAGATTCTTCCAGTTCAAACATTTTCCAAGACTTTTTGTATTTGATAATTTACATATGTTATGGGGCCATTGTCAGTCCTCCATTTCAGTGGACATGCTCAAGTATAGAGCTTGTTGGAATGAACTCATGGCCTATTTTTATTAGACCCACCAGTGCTCTCATTGTTTACAGTCTACTAAGCATTTTTCACAATGCGTCCAAATACTAGTGAAGGGCAGTCTCTGTGCGGTGCTCCTTCACTTTTGTATGTACGGTAATGGGCAGAGGGAATAACCCATGCACAGTCCTTGAGGTGATGTGTGCACAATGCAACTCCAATTCACAGAACTGTTCCTGCATCTGCAGAACACCCTCTGAATTCAGCCACTTGCTTTCCAACACCAATCTAAAGTTGGCTGGGAAGTGGAGGACCTTGCAGGTGTGCTCATGTTCTATGAGCTATAGCAAGTTTCACTCTTTGGAGAGATGAGTGTAGCAGCAAATGAAGACCTTTTTACTATTAATAGTAGCCCATTAAATAAGAGAAAATATGCTAGAGTATTTTGTATTAATTTAATTTTTATTACTCTTCTAGTTCCAGAAGACTATTTTCTGTTGGGTTGTGTCTTTGCAATTGCTGATTATCCTGAGCAGATGTCTGATAAACAGTTACTGGCAACATGGAAAAGGGTAATTATTTGTTCTGTTTGTGAATATTTTTTAGTTTTTTGCATTAGTTTTTCAGTTTCTTAAACAAAAATAGGTATATTTAAAAACCAACAAATTGTTTTCTTTTTGACTTAACAGATATATTCCATGTCCATAATATGTATGTTACCAACAAAGCACACAAAACTTAATCTTCTTTGTTCTCCTTTTAACTGATTTTTACTATTACTAGCTTCAAACCTAATTTCTGCCTTTCTTTGTTATCTGTTAATCAGGGGTCCATCTGCCAAAATTTCCCATTACTCTCAAGTAACAAGCTTACCAGTTAGGTTTTGTGCAAAATACAGTGATAAGAGCCTGTATTACCTTCACAAGTTTTAAACTATGGCACATATGTAACATGGCAAAAAAATTCAATGAGTGTTGTTTGATTAACAAACCTTTTAAGTGTGTCTAGTTTTTATTTTCCTAGATAATCCAAGCAAATGGCGGTACAGTAGATCCCACATTCACAAACCGGTGTACACATCTTCTCTGTGAAAGTCAGCTTAGTAATATGTATGCTCAGGTAAGACCAAATGGTACAAATGTACTTACCTATGTTTGTAAGAGCTGTTTATTTCCTTACAGCAGCAGGAGACTTTTTCAGGTGGTTCACAATTTAGCGGAACCACCTGCGACATCGGGGCCCAGTACGGGCCACATGATCTCCTGCAATGATTTTGCAAAGTTTTTTGCAGATAAAATCGCTCAGATTCGGGAAGAAGTAGACTCCACCGTGGGAGCAGGGCCAGGGTGGGAGAGTGCTAGAGTCCTGTCTAGTCAAGTTGTGTGGGATCAATTCCAATCTGTTACCTCCGAGGATGTGGACAGGCTGCTTGGATGAGTGAAGCCAACCACCTGCCTCCTGGATCCTTGCCCATCCTGGCTTATAAAAGCTAGCTGGGAAGGACTGGGTGATGGGCTTCGTGGGGTGGTGAATGCTTCCCTCCGTGAGGGAGCCTTCCCAGACCCGCTGAAAGAGGCGGTTATTAAACCGCTTCTTAAAAAACCATCTTTAGATGCGGCCACGATGGCCAATTATCGCCCAGTCTCAAATCTTCCATTCTTGGGCAAGGTGATTGAGCGAGTGGTTGCTGAACAACTCCAGGCACGCCTGGAAGAAGCGGACCATTTGGATCCCTTCCAGTCGGGATTCAGGGCTCATCATGGGACTGGAACTGCCTTGGTCGCACTGGTTGATGATTTCCGGCGGGCTAGGGACAAAGGTGAGAGTTGTTTCCTAGTTCTGCTGGATCTTTCAGCGGCGCTTGATACCATCGACCATAACATCCTTCTGGACCGTCTTGAGGGGCTGGGAGCTGGGGGCACTGTCATACAGTGGTTCCGCTCCTTCCTCCTGGGCCGTGTTCAGAAAGTGGGGGGGGTGAGTGTTCAGACCCCTGGGCTCTCACTTGTGGGGTGCCTCAGGGTTCTGTCCTCTCCCCCATGCTTTTCAACATTTACATGCAGCCACTGGGAGAGATCATCAGGAGGTTTGGGCTGGGTGTTCATCAGTATGCGGATGATACCCAGCTCTACCTCTCTTTTAAATCAGAACCAGTGAAGGCGGTGAAGGTCCTGTGTGAGTGTCTGGAGGTGGTTGGAGGATGGATGGCGGCTAACAGATTGAGGTTGAATCCTGACAAGACAGAAGTACTGTTTTTGGGGGACAGGAGGCGGGCAGGTGTGGAGGATTCCCTGGTCCTGAATGGGGTAACTGTGCCCCTGAAGGACCAGGTGCGCAGCCTGGGAGTCATTTTGGACTCACAGCTGTCCATGGAGGCACAGGTCAAATCTGTATCCAGGGCAGCTGTTTACCAGCTCCATCTGGTACGTAGGCTGAGACCCTATCTGCCTACAGACTGTCTCGCCAGAGTGGTGCATGCTCTTGTTATCTCCCGCTTGGACTACTACAATGCGCTCTATGTGGGGCTACCTTTGAAGGTGACCCGGAAACTACAACTAATCCAGAATGTGGCAGCTGGACTGGTGACTGGGAGCGGCCGCCGAGACCATATAACTGTTGGTTTCTGCTTTCCTTCACTGTGCAGCGAAAGGGCTTGTCACGAGACAGGTGTTTACATTCCACAGTCTGTACTGTTGGAGTTTCTCACGGGAAAGGGAGACTGGATGTGACGTACACTGGTTTCCTGTTTTTCACTGTTCTTTGCAGTTTCACTTGGTGATTCTCTCCGAGCTGTCGAGGAGAGAGGATGCATTTTCTGCTCCGGCAGAGGCAAGATGTCTTTCTGTAATATACCAGCTTTGAACTGTAAATAAAGCAATATAGAGTATGTAGTACGTACTCCTCATCCTTCCGCTGGGCACGGGACTCTGCTTTTCAACCAACAATAACACCGGTCTTGAAAGACCTACATTGGCTCCCAGGACGTTTCCGAGCACAATTCAAAGTGTTGGTGCTGACCTTTAAAGCCCTAAACGGCCTCGGTCCAGTATATCTGAAGGAGCGTCTCCTCCCCCATCGTTCTGCCCGGACACTGAGGTCCAGCTCCGAGGGCCTTCTGGCGGTTCCCTCACTGCGAGAGGCCAAGTTACAGGGAACCAGGCAGAGGGCCTTCTTGGTAGTGGCGCCCGCCCTGTGGAACGCCCTCCCATCAGATGTCAAAGCGATAAACAACTACCTGACATTCAGAAGACATCTGAAGGCAGCCCTGTTCAGGGAAGTTTTTAATATGTGACATTTTAGTGTATTTTTCATCTTTGTTGGAAGCCGCCCAGAGTGGCTGGGGAAACCCAGCCAGATGGGCGGGGTACAAATAATAAATTATTATTATTATTATTATTATTATTATTATTATTATTATTATTATTATTATTATTATTATTACATTGAATGATATAATAGTTCAGGAACAATTTCTTACGAAGGTGAAAGTATCTATAGAAACATAATTTACCTTCCCCCAGTCTTTTGCTGCTAGTAACCTCAAGGCAACTTAAAACTGTAAAATACAATTTTAAGTATATAGTTTCAAACAGCAATAACATAAGATTCTCTGTGCAGTCATGGCCTGTAGCTAGGTCTTCTCCCTCCTCCTGTGTAGACCATTCCTCCTAGGTATTCCCCTGCTGTTAGAGCTGTTTGGCAGCCAAACAAGTACTCATGCTATGACTTGGGGCTTCCCATCTGCTCTGTCACTGCTCTGTCACCACCTTTGTTCTGAGGCCCTTTGTTCTGAGACACTCTCTCTCCCCCCCCCCCTCTCTCGCTGTGTGTGTGGGGGGGGGGAGAGAGGGGGGGCTTGAATAGGAAAGAGACAGAATACAATAAATATATATTGTATCTTTTGGTGGTCTGTAGATTGTGGTAGTTGTATGCTCCCTACAGTTGAGAGTGGCTAACCTAAGGATTAGTGGGCCTATATCAGAGATGGCACTCACTGCAGTCTGAGAACTTTGGTTCATCTGTATCCCATACCAACCTCATTTTTGTTTGAAAGTGGGTGGCTAAAAGCTTTATAAACCTAAAGCAGCAACATATATATATTTAAAATATTTTCATACATACCTACTAAAATTTATATGTACAGTGACAATATTTTGCATTTGTGTTGCAGGCTTTGAGAGAAAGGAAGAGATGTATCACAGCACACTGGTTGAACTCTGTGCTAAAAAAGAAGAAAATGGTACCACCTCACCGAGCTCTTCATTTTCCTGTAGCATTTCCACCAGGAGGGAAACCATGTTCACAGCATGTAAGAAATTAACTCTAGCATTTTGCTTGGAAGGTGCTGTTGCTATTATTTCTTTTACTGCAAGCAGCTTTTTATGTCGGAAGATATAAAAATGAGCAAATATATAACGTCCAGTCTCTGAGAATATTTTACAACTTTAATTGGAATTAATAAAATTACATGATTGAATTCAGGATTTTTTTGTACTGCACCTAAATATCTTTATGTGAATGGGATATATTTCCTTGCTGTGTAATTGAAGTTATCTTTAAATCTCAGGTGTGGAACTGGTTTGTTTGTTTGTTTGTTTGTTTGTTACTCCTTTTTATGTGAGGATTACTGCATTATGAAGGGTTTTCTGTTCGATGGTAAATTTGGTTATCACATTGAGAGTTAGGCAAATGGTTCAGTTTATGAAAATGATATCATAAAGCAAGAATGGAGAACAGGGCCCCCTCTAACATTCCTGACCTTTGGCCATACTGACCATGACTGAGATTTGGAAGTCCAACAATATCTGGAGGGGCATAGATTATGAACCCCTGTCATAAAGTGACTGCCTGAAAAATGTACCACTTCATATTCAAATGTTTGGTTTGGACCTTATCTGTCAATGGTTGCTTACACCTTGAATCTTCCTAGATCAATTAATAATTCCATGAAATGAACCTTGGAATCCTTTGGGGCTAAAAGGCAGTACGAAAAGATTTAGATAAATAGAAAAACGTCTGGCTGCAGTTATGTGTCCACATTTTGAGAATGAGAAGAGCTACTGTTTCATAGCATACTTCAAATTAACTGAAAACTTGGGAAGAAAAGGTTACCCATAGTATGTACTTAAAGAATAGGACACTTTTGGTAGGCATTGAAAGATGGGCAAGGAGACACATACTACAAATGACCAAGAGAGATTTACAACTTTTTCTGATAGCATTTATTTGAAATTTCTGTTTACTCATATTTCTGATGGTTGAATCATCTTCTGTTCCAGATAATCTCAGTGACAGGTTTTGTTGATAGTGACAGAGATGATCTCAAGCTGATGGCCTACCTCTCAGGTGCAAAATACACAGGCTATCTTTGTCGCAGCAACACAGTTCTCATCTGTAAAGAGTAAGTGGCTTATATATTTATTTTGATTTTTTTTATTAACCATGATATATAAATAATATTGTTACAATTTGTGAAAATATTAGTGAGTATAAAATTATAAGTTAAATAGAGAAGTTATTACATTCTAAAAAAAAATCCCAATTGGTATTTTTTGTTTTAAACACATCACACACACACACACACACACACATATATATATATATATATATATATATATATATATATAATGTTTCATAAATTGGTTTTATATGTGCAATTGTTTTAAATGTTTATGTATGCAATTGTTTTAGATAAGTTTTTATTGTAAATGGCTTTGGGATGCCCCATGGGAAGCGATTCATAAATGAAAATAAATAAGATGTTTAGTATCATTTGTGTCTCTTTTCCCTCCGTAACAAGGCCAGCTGGTTTAAAGTATGAGAAAGCCAAAGAGTGGAGGATACCATGTGTGAATGCGCAATGGCTCTGTGATATATTACTTGGAAATTTTGAAGCACTGCGGCAAATACAGCACAATCGATACACAGTATTCAATCTTCAAGAACCACTTGCTCCTAATCAACATCTGGTTTTAAACCTTCTTGGTAAGAAGAGTTGCCAGACATACAGCATAGCAAATGTTAGTTTTCTGCAGTAAAGAAATATATGAATAAATATATATGTTGCTCAGACTTACAAACTTTGCATGGCTTGGGACATGTCAGTATGGCTGTTGCTTGGGTAACTAAGCCCCATAGGAAATGACATTCATTCCCTTTAAAGACTTTTAGGATTGCACTGCTAAAATGTTTGTGCAAAACTGGAAGCAACACATGAAATAAAGCGTAGTACATATTTACTTTCCTAATGTGAACTGCGCCACTTTTGCGGTATGTTCCATGCATACTTGTCAGATATGTGTGTGTAATTAGCATGAAAAGACTGTATGCACTGAATTAGTGTGGTGGAATGTAAAGAAAATATATGTCCTCATGTCAAAACTTGTTCTTTCCTGTTCACTGTTCCCAGATGCTTGGAGAGTTCCACTAAAAGTATCGTCAGAACTTCTAATGGTATGTGGATTTGCTAATAATTTATTTACTTTAACTGCTGTTTCAGTGGGAACATCATAAATCTGTTTGGACAAAGGAATATAAATGCTTAAAATATCCATTTGTTTAAGATACATTTATGCTGTCCTTTGTTTAAAATTGATTCCAAGGCAGTTTACATAATATAAGAATAAAGAATCCAATTTTAAAAATATGAATTGCTATTTAAATGATCTTTGAACATGTTTGGATTTTTGCAGAGGCGTATTAGCAATACAACTTTGACAAGAGTGACAAGTGAAGTTCTTATGGCTGCATCAGGGTGGTGGGAGTACATACATTTGGGGCTGTGGCTTTTCTCATGCTAAACTATAGTTTAGTGTGGCGTTGACACCAGGCTGTGTCTTGAACAACCTTCAGTTTTGATACTGCTTTCTGTTGACAATTTCTAATACAATTATTTGATGACTGATGAAGCATATAAGGTTGCACAATGTGCACATACACAAACTAATTAAAATATTATCTGAACCTTTCCCCAAAATAGACCTTTAAACTGCATCTAGGCTCTTATGCTGAGGCATTAAGTATGCTAAATCTGTTTTTATTTTAGTTGCTATGACTAAAAGATTTTGCTGTGAAATAGTAAATAATTATTAGAGGGGAGGTGTGTGTTTGTGTGTGTGTGTGTGTGTGTGTGTGCGCGCGCGCTTATATATTTCTATATTATTTGTTGTAGGGTGTGAGATTACCACTAAAACCAAAGCAAAATGAATCGGTAATTCAACCGTCAAGCAAGCGGCCAAGGTGAGAGAGTGGCCATTCTCCAACGTGTCACATTCTTAGTCTATTAATTAAAATTATCAAAACTACTGCTAAAACTTCTGGAAATCTCTCTGTCTGGAGTGGCAAACTGCAATCCTAGGGGACAAATGCAGCCTTTTGGGCCCCTCATTCTCAGGACTCTCTCAGCGCTTCTCAAACTTGTGTTGCCAGCTGTTGTTGGACTACAACGGCTGAGGACCCAAGTTTGAGAAATACTGACTAGGTTATAGAAGTGCCTGGCGTGCTCTGGTCCATGGGGACACAAAGAGTCGGACACGACTAAATGACTAAACAACAACAGGCTTTATTGCCTTCCTAGTTCTCAACCTTGCTTTGCACCTTCCTTGTGTTCTTTTGCCTGAGTGGAATGCACTCTTGAACTATGATGAGGTCTCTTGCTTACATTTATGGAAGATGGATAAATTTGTAAGGTAAGAGTTGCACCTGCTGCTCCACCCACTTTTGCCTCTGGCCCATTCAACACTAGCATGTTGATCTCTGAAGGTCCCCTATGAGAGAATGCCCTTCGTGGCCTGGAAAACGTTCCCCAGCCCCGCTCTATATTATTCTGCTGATGATTATTTAGAAAGACACTTGTGCTGTGGGAAGTGAACAGTTTGGAGGGAGGAGGGAGGGTGCAAACTAAGTCAAAGTATGTAAGAAAACATGAACCTTGAAATAATACCATACGTAGGCACTTCAGAGATGAAATATTCTACAAAAGATAGCTGCACCAGCTAAATCCAAACAAAAGTTGCATATGGTGTGTTTCTACACACTTCATGGACCTTCTCTACATTTAAGATATTAATCGTGAAAACAGTATATCAAAATTGTGTTGAATTTTAAATCCAAAAATACTGTGTTTTGTATTAACAGTATTTTGTGTTTGTAGAATTGAAGACTTGCCAACTCCTAATAAAAACGTGACATCAGAATTGACGCCAGTAGTGCTCTTCACGGGATTTGAGCCTTCCCAGGTGCATCAGTACATCAAGGTGACTTTTCTCTGTCTTAACAGAACAAACACTTTTGTAACATTTTTCTCTACTGAAAGCCCTGCAAAATGATATAATATGTTCGTCTTGTGATTCTATACCTCAGGTAGCCCATTCATGCAAGCAAGTTACCAGTTGCTGCAACGAAACATACATGTATGGAAACTGTCTTAGATCTACTGTATAGTCTTGTACAGAAACCTAAATCATCATAAGACCCTGCGGGATCAGACCAAAGGCCTATCTCGGGGGTTGCTAATGAGGGGTACATGTGTCTGTAGAGACCTCTTCTGGCACCTACAGGCTTTCCTCCCTCACCACCTCATGCTGAAATTAGGCTTGAAAGTAGTCTTCCGTTGTAACTCATAGAACAGGTTGCTGTGTCTGTTTAGTCTTGGTGTTTGTATGGTGCCCATGGCAATTTATTTAGTTTGCAAATCTATCAAGAGGCCCCCAAAATTTGACAATTGTTTGGGCTATCTGGTCCAGTATTCTGTTCTTTGGTCTAATTTAACAGGACTCAAATTTAACAGAAGTCAAAGACTTCTGGTTGCTAGATATATGGTATATCTGGGGGTAGTTTCACACAATTATGTTTGTTGCAGTGACTGCTAATGTAATAGCATAAAAGACATCAGAGGTGTGGCATCACAGACGTAGGTTTTATCACCTTACAGCAGCCTTTCTCAACCTTGGGTCCCCAGATGTTCCTGAACTACAACTCCCACCATCCCTGACCAGTGGCCATGCTGGCTAGGTATGATGGGAGTTGTAGTCCAACAACACACAAGGTTGAGAAAGATTGCCTTACATTGTTTTTCAGTGGAGCTGGTTCATGTGCTTGGTTACTGATGATCAAATGTACGGTAATTATGTGTATGCTTGTGTGAACTAGGCTTAGTTTATCTTGCTTTTAGTTTGATTGAACTATTACGATGTGGCTGGAGGCTATAACCTTTTTTTAAAATACAATTTTCAGAAACTCTACATTCTTGGAGGTGAAGTAGCAGAATCTGCCCAGAAATGCACTCACTTAATAGCGAGTAAAGTGACACGCACTGTAAAATTCCTTACAGCTATTTCAGTTGTAAAGCATATAGTAACCCCAGAATGGTTGGAAGAGTGTTTCAAGGGCCAGAAGTTTATAGGTAAGTAATTCTTAAAGTTTGTCAGTATAAGTGATATAAAGAGTCTCTCCTTTAAAACACAAAAATGAAGCATGCGCAAAATAGTGCCCTTCTTGCTGTTAAGCAGGGGGACAACACTGAAACAATCAAATCAAAAAATGTTGAAATGGAAGTTTCCCCTGTGACCAGGGGAGTGAGTCAGAGGTGCAGTTTACAAAGCAGTGCTTAATATTTTACAAAATATTATTACTACTACTACTACTATTATTATTACTATTACTATTGTTAATTTATTATGCCACCCATCTGACTGGGTTGCCTCAGCCACTCTGGGCGGCTCCCAACATCCACCTTTATGGCTATGCATGTAGAACTTTAACATCTCTAGTGCCATTTTTAATGAGTGATTTCTTTTTCTAAATTTTCAGTGGTTTTAAAAGTAGTTCCTCTTCACTCAGCAATTTTCAAGTGTTAAATTTTTTAACAAACATAAAATTAAGGCAAGTACTTAACTCCAGCTTCTTATATTGAGTCGTACTGCTTAATTTAAGGGTCCCAAGCAATTCTTAAAATTAAGCTATTGATTTTTAAAAGAGGACAATCGCTAGCTGCCCCATTGGCATCTTCCTTATTGATGGAACTTACAGTGGGGCAACTGAATCTAAATGCCCAAACTAAAGTAGTAGTATCTGATATGATAGTCTATACATTCATAAATAATTATTTTTTTCTGATAACAAATTATTTTCTCAGTAGTAGATGCTTACATCTTTTTGTGTTATGAATAGTTACAGTTATATTTTTCCTCCACTTTAGAAGAGCAAAACTACATACTCAGGGATGCAGAAGCTGAAGTTCTTTTCTGTTTCAGCTTAGAAGAATCTCTAAAGAAAGCACAGGAGACACCGCTCTTCAAGGTACATCAGTTTTTAAAAAGCGCTAAATCCAGATTATTTGAACCAAGTGTTTAAACATGAGTGTTACCATCATGTATGCTAGCCTAGAAAAAAAGTATTTGTAACCACTTGCAGCTTTTATTTTCAAATATAAGTAGTTCAGTATAACTAAATGTTGTAGACTGGATTCCACTGAGGCATCACACCAACAGCCTGGTTGTAGCTTCCAAACATAATCATAATTTAGAATCATGCATGTGCTTTCATTTCCCATCTGCTTTGTAAGTTTGCTTATAGCAGTGTCTGCAAACAGAATGATCACTGTTAACTGCCCCCATGATTTGCAAACCCAATTCAAATCATGACCTTGGAATATGGTTTGCTAGCCAATTACAAACTGGTTTATCAGTGCAAAAGTCAGCATAATTCTTCCTTCGCCATAATTTGGCAGGTTTTCTGAATTGACTGATTGTCTTTGAGAAGTACTTGGCCTGTAAATGACTTGTTATATTACTATTTATTTAGAGCCTTAGTACCCCTCTGTTCAGCCAAAAAGTCTCCCAGAGTAGCTTACATACAATCAATTAAAATAAGACAGTCCCTGCCTGCAGGCTTACAGTCTAAAAAATGATACTCAAGGGAAAAGGCAACTTTATGTAATTTATAAAACTCCCAGCACATGTGGTGTCTGCACCAGCATCCTTTGTTATACTTGTCACTTCAGCTAGTTCCTCACTGTCCTGGAACTTAACATTTTTTTTATTGGCTTTGGTAGGGGAAGAAATGGGAGCTTATCCATGTCGCCTCCACCCCTTTCTGCAGTTCCCAAGACATTGCTCTATCCTGATATCTTTCTTTCTTTCTTCTTTATGCAATTCTTTGCAATCTGGTTTTGACTCTGTGTCCTTTTGGAACTTACATAATCTTTGATACCAGCAACTATCCACTTCTCTTTTCTTCTTTTAGTTTTCTCAAATCTCCCAAACCTTTGGTTTTATTCCTGCTTCTCAGTCCTTTTCAAGACCACTATTTCTTGATACTTAGCTGTTGGTTATTTTTCTCCTCTAGTTCAGAATCTTGACAGTTCTTTTAGATTTTTCTATTTTCCTATGTACAAGTGATTATCAAGCCTCTTCTATTCAGCTCATAAATCCATAATTTTGTAATTATGGTCTAAAGCTCGGCTCTTTGTTACCCATTGAAACATCATTTTGAGAATGGCAACTAAGGTTTGACATTCATAATTTAAAAGTAATATTTCAAATTATGAAATTGCCAAAAGTCATCCCTTCGTGCATTAACTCTTTACAAATAATGGAGAGTATTTATGCCTGATCATTTTAATGCTTTTCCATCTGTAATTTTAAAACATTCCATTTAATGAATGACTGTCCTTGTAGAACAGAAATAATCTGTCAGCCATGTCGTTTTATACTGCAGTTTGTGTAGGGAACCCAGAGACAGGCTGATTCTCTTCCTTTGTTAAAAATTATAACTGCAAGATCCACTGAAACTTGGTAATTCTTCTGTTTATTGATGCCTCTCTTTACGTTATTGATAAGATAGCTAAGTACTTTCTATTTTAAGCAAACATTAGGAAGCAGGTGATAAAGTAAGAACTTGCTGTAGGTTCCTCTGTAAACACGGTCTTATTTTGCTTGTATCAAACTGCATTTATTTATTCATAATTCAAACATGCTTTTAATTATTGTAACATTCTTGTCTCCCCACCCACCCACTTTTACTTCTAAGTCTTCTTCTACTTGAGTACAGGGTATAAAAACTATGGGGTGGGGCTGCCTTGAGATCTTGTAGTCAGAACCTTCTTCCTCCCTTGTAGAAGAAATTAGCAAGGTATCCATGGCGAACATCAGCTTTAGGGGGGGAAATGATAACATAAGAGAAGAGGCAGGAGAAGGTGAGAAGTTGATATACCAAAAAATGGAATCCTAATTAACAGGAAGTGGACAGACCACACTGGTACCTTGCTCTGTGACATAGTGGTCAGTGGCATAAATGCAGACATACAATGTGTTTTGTGTTTCATAAATGTTTTGATTTTAGGGAAAGTACTTCTATATTACACCTGGAATTTGCCCAAGCCTTTCCACTATGAAATCTATTGTGGAATGTGCAGGAGGAAAGGTATTGAACAAACAACCTTCTTTCCGAAAGCTCATGGAACACAAGCAAAACAAAGTGAGTGTGATCTTGATTGATTTTCTAACATCTTTCTGCTTAGAAAATATGTCCATTTGAGCTGACTCAGTTTCACTATTTTTAATACAGAGTTTATCAGAGATTATTCTGATTTCTTGCGAAAATGATCTTCACTTATGTCGAGAATATTTTGCCAGAGGCATAGGTATGTGTTCTTTATACTTATAACAATGTTTTAACAATGCAACATGGCACTAGCACTTGAAGGAAAGAAATGTACCCTAGTCTAATAGTTTGGTTATATATCAAACCCTGGATGTGTGGGCTTGTGGGAGATTTTATACATACAATGGGCTTTTGCATAGTATTAGAAGAAAACACCTTTTGCTAGGGGTATCAGGTTCAGATAAATGCCAATGCAAAATGTTGGAGGTGAATCAAAATGAAGACTCCTGAAAGTTTCATTCCATTGTGATTCATTATTTGATTTGGTGCTGTTAAATCCAGTGCTCTGTACAGTGGTACCTCGGGTTACAAATGCTTGGGTTACGTGTTTTCAGGTTGCGGACTGCGGGAAACCCGGAAGTACTGCAAAGGGTTACTTCTGGGTTTTGCGCAGAAGCGCCAAATTGTGTAACGCGCAGACGCAGCACTGCAGGTTATGAATGCTGATGGTTGCGGACATGCCTCCATCACAGATTACGTCCACAACCCGAGGTTCCACTGTAAAGGAGAATCTAAAAAGGGAGCTATATTTCTCCCCCCTTTTCATTTGCTGGTGAAATTTGCAGGGAAAGGAAACCTACCAGAGTGTATTAAGACTGTGAACTTCAGGAAGATCCATTCAGGCTTCTTTGTCCACAGGACTCTTAAATTTATTTTATTTTTTAGAAGCAGGCGCACCAAGTGGTGGAGCCTGAGGGGTCTTCAGCCCCCCCCCCATTTTTCAAGGGGGGGCTGGGCTCCCCCAAAATCCTGTGGCCCGCTCTGCCTCCTCCCTGCCGATGTTGCGCTGCGGGGAGAAGGCTGAGAGCAGAGCCCAGCTCTGCGTTCCCCATTCTCCACCCGGCACACAAGTGCCAGCATCGGCGGGACACCTGTGTGTCCCAACCCGGTGAGTGAACACTTGTGCACTAGGTGGGGGTGGGACGCTTCACATGATGCGCCCCGCAATGGGGGGGGGGGCAAGTCAGCGCTCGTGCAAGCAGGCAACCTCAGTAGTCTTAACTGCTTATACTTTACCTTTATATGAAGAAAAGTTCTGCTTACCGTATTTTTCGCTCTATAAGACGCACCAGACCACTAGACGCACCTAGTTTTTTGAGGAGGAAAACAAGAAAAAAAATATTCTGAATCTCAGAAGCCAGAACAGCAAGAGGGATCACTGCGCAGTGAAAGCAGCAATTCCTCTTGCTGTTCTGGCTTCTGGGATAGCTGCGCAGCCTGCATTCACTCCATAAGACGCACACACATTTCCCCTTACTTTTTGGGAGGGAAAAAGTGATTCTTATAGAGCAAAAAATACGGTATTTATTTGAATGTCCCTCTACCTGAATGAAGTGTACTAGGAAATAATCAAAGGGATTGAAATCCAGACCTCTTTGTCAGCACAAAAGATACCCTTTCACCTGCAAGCTCCCCAGTGAGCTTTAGTTTCACTTCTGAGAAAATAAAAGCGGTGTCTGTGTGACATAACAGATAACTTAATGGAATGACTAGGACCACAGTGCTACTTGGAAGGCTGGCAACTTGCTGATCCACCTCAGCATGCCTGTTAACAACACAGTCCAACTCAATAATATGAAAGACAACCTTGAATCACCTCAAATCGCATTGTTATTCAGGCTGCACACAGAGCCAATGTACACCTGTGGTGTATTTATAGCTTTACATTGAAGATGGCACTAGCCCAGCTTATGAGTGGCCACTTCCATGACTTGTCCAGCTCACCAGCTGCAAATGTGTCTGGCACAGGTCTGTTCCTGGCATCCAACTGCCAAGTATCCCTTAGGCACAATGCCTCTTAATCAGAATGTCAGTCTCCTTGAACATTAATGTTTTAAGGACACACACAGTGCCAGCTTCATAGTTACCTTGAATAAGTGCTGCCTCCGTCTTTCTTACTTTCAACTGGCAACTCCTTAATTCAAGTCCTTTTAGTCAAAACATAAACGTTAAAAGATCAGTAGTTGCAATTAATTTACCATGGATGTCTTGATTGTTTTATTTCCCCCCCTCCTGTATTTCCAGATGTTCACAATGCAGAGTTTGTTTTGACTGGCGTTCTTACTCAGACACTGGATTATGAATCATATCCTTCATATGCTATATAAAATAAGATTGTGTTTTCTGTATTCTAGTCTCCCTTAAAGGGAACAGCTGGCAAAGTTCACATAATTTATTAGCCATCTATAGAGTTTCTAACTAATGAATGAATGTAGATAATTGGAATTCAGGTAAGCTGGTATCACCTTTTACCACAGCATGTTTTATTCCCTCTTTGCTCTCACAGGCTCATTGAAGTACAGCTTAATAGTTTTCACCTGTGTTTGCAAAAATACTTACTGGTTTTTACAGGAAGTTAGAATTGTTTGCTAGGATTCCCTGAAATTCAGGGCACATGCTTTAATCTTTTGTTGTGACTGTCCCTTTAATAATGTCTTAATGATTTATTCTAAAATATCCTGTCTCTAAAAAAAAAAAAAGGAATTAACATTTGAATTAAATGTTGAAATATATATTCTAATCAAAGTATAGCCTGAAAAATACACATCACAGTGTTTTGTTGTTGAGTGCATATTTACCTTAGAAAGTTGTAAAACCATGTTGATGCATTTGGCTTAAGAAACAGATTCTCTCTCTGCTTATGTTATCCTTTTCTTGTACCAAAAAACCCGATTATGGCAATCTGCACATTTCAGCATAGCTTTTTCCTTAACCCAAGTGTACATATAAATTCACTTGACTGGAAGTGAAAATGCCTTATTGCTGTAGACTCCTTGAATCCTTCCTTCCTTCCAGCTTTTTCAGCCTGTGGATCAGTTGGCACTTCTGGAGTTCTTGTCCCCTTCCTCCCTTGTTTTGCTGAAGGCCAATGAGCAGTTTGAGGCAGGAGAGCAAACGTTAATTGCATCTGTTTAAGATGTGCAGCATTTTATTATTAAAACATAATTAACTATGTTCTTTGTATTATACTAGAGAGAGGTTACTTTTTATATCACAAATTAGTTTTCCTAATTTTTTTTAGTTGTCACAACTGTTGGTACTTAACCACACAAAATTGGAATGTAAAGAGAAAGGGCTTGTGGTATGTAAATTATGGAAATAAAGTATTTTGTATTTTATTTTATTAAGCTCTGTTTCTTTTATATTACTAATATCCTGGTTTTTGTATAAATATACTTTTAAATAATGTTTCTTTAAGATTTCGTAGTGGCTCCTTTCCTCTTCTTTTAAATACTGTGCAATTATGGCACTATGGTAAGAGTAAATTACTCTAAATCATTCTTTCAAATGCTGTAAGATAATCTTCCCTTTATTTTACAAGGTATGTTTTAATATTAAAAACCAAGTATTTTAAGCAGAATTTATTGTTAATGTTTTGTGTATTTCTACTGAAGTTAGGTTGAACTCATTCATATCTACTGCTATAATTTTTCTTGAAATAATTTTTAATGAAGTAAATATGCAAAAAATGAATTCACAGAACTAAACTCACTCAAGGTGAATTACATTTGCAAAATTATATTGTACATAATGGAACTAATTATAAATTGAGTATATGTTATTTAAAAACTAGTATCAAACTACTGTTTCAGCAAGAACAATGTCTGGTAAGGTGCAGCCAGTTCCCAAAGATTCTTTTAAAAAGTACAATTCCTTCCATGGATTATCTATGGATCCAATAACAAATCTCCATTCAGTGATTTTGAGGATTTCAATAATTTGGGTTTGGCAAAATTCTTTAATTTATATAGGTTGAAATAATTAGCATTTGTCTCACCTGACAGCATGCCATGTTTTGTGCATTTGTGTTTCTGAAAATGAAGGGCCATATATGACAAAAAAACCCCCACATGATTCATGTGGAGCAGCTGCAGGTATAAATTCTGATGGTTTAATTTTTAAAACATGGCAGGTGGGACACGGAACACTACTGACAGACTTGCAATGCACTTTGAAGCCACTGTACTAAATGTTAACGGAAGTTAGTTGATCTTTTCTCACACACTACATTTTTGCAAGGTATAGAAAGTACATACTTTAGCCAACATCTCTTTGTTCGTAACTGCCTTTAAAAGAAACCTCTTCACTGCTGAAACTTGGCAACTAGATCAGCGTACCTTTTTTAGACGTCATTGGCACCATAACTTTTGAAGGTGTTTGTACTTGTGTGCTCACACTGGAAAATGGCACAGCCAGAACAGAAAGTACAGCAGGTCCACCATCAAGGCATTGGAAATGATTTATAGGAAAAGCATATGGAAATACCTGCTGTCCTTAAAATGAACATGCTTTCCATGTGGCTTTCAGTGATGGTTGCCTCTTCTGCAGCATCTGTGTCATATTTCTTGCCTGTAAAACATTTGCCACATTTATGTTCTGTATAATTGCCACACTGAATATTTTATGTATGTTTATTCTTATAAAAGAGTTTTGGAACACTGCATAAAACCATGTCATTTTTCAGATTCAAAAAGCATGTGAACCTGTTCAGTGCTAAACATCTGGTAGGAACCCACCTTTCTCACTCGGTTTAAGAAATAGTAAAATGATCACTGTAAAATGGTCATCAGGTAGGTGAAATGTATTCAGAACTCAGGCCTTTAAATTTCAGGAATCAGGGTGGGGAAGCAGGTAGTCAAAACGTCCACCACTTGGAATTCCTAAACATGTTGCTGCAACCTCTGTTTCTAGGGGAGGCCCCCCTTGGGCACCTGCCAGTGCACTGGACTTATTTTGTCACACAATTCAGTAAGGGCCACTGAGAACCTAAGAGCCTTTATCTCTTCCCCATCTTTCATCTAATCCACATGGCCCTGTGCCACCTTGCTCATGCTACAGTACAAGGAGATTTTTAAAGGTTGTAATCGGCAAAAAACCGAAAGCACCACAGCATTCATGGAGCTTCCAGTCTACACTTTCAACAAATCCGCTCCACTTCCCAATGGGGAGGGTTAGGACCGAATGGCCACCCACTCCCCACTGGGGGGGGGGGCGTTTCCGGGACCGTTTAAATCAGAGCCGGAAGGCTTCCTCTTTGGCTCGCTTCCTCAATCACCCGACCTCCCTATTTTGCAGGTTTAGGCACTGACCTTGCTATAGACCTCGGTTGGTCGCCATTGAGGGGCGGCCTGGTAGGAATTTTTCCACTTGGCAAATTGGCACTGGCCATGTGGTTTTCGCCTACCTCGTAGCAATCGTCACAACTTTGTTAGGGTTATGGTTAGGCATTGTTTGACCTTGTGATGGGGGAGGGGAGGGGAGGTGTGGCCATCACCTGCCCCTCCAAGCTTAAGGGTATTCTGTTAAAGGAATCCAGAGGTGTTGATCTTGTCCGAAGTCCAGGTCGGGGGCCAGGGCCATGAGATGACCCCGACAGGGGGAGCTCGAGTTGGTATGCATTGGGCTCCCCCTTCCAGTGGTTTACCCTTACCGGACTTCCTGCGCATCGGGCAGGAGTCAGATATAGTCTGGTCCATTCAGTGCCTAAGCCAATACCGCTCACATTCTGTAATCAATAAAGTTGTGGCCAAATTTGCCCAATAACATAAACCTAATATCCGTATCCTTGTGTGTGTTATTTCCCAATGAGGGGGTTGGGGTCTTGACACACAACTCTTGTTCCGTTCTCAAGGTTACCAGGGCAGCATTCCATGCAGGACATAGCAGCTATGCTGCAAAGGTAGCGCTTGATACAGACCATTCTCAACAAATACGATCACTCCTTGTACTAGCACAGGGGTCAGCAACCTTTTTCAGCCGTGGGCCGGTCCACCGTCCCTCAGACCATGTGGTGGGCCAGACTATATTGGGGGGGGGAATGAATGAATTCCTATGCCCCACAAATAGCCCAGAGATGCATTTTAAATAAAAGGACACATTCTACTCATGTAAAAACACTGATTCCCAGACCACAGGCCGGATTGAGAAGGCAATTGGGCCGTATTCGGCCCCCAGGCCTTAGTTTGCGTACGCATGTACTAGCACCTTCCGCACCAGCTCATCGACTTTCACTTGCCTTCGTCTTTTCCTCTGAAAGTGGAAATAAGAAACCACAGTCTTCATGGTGCACTGTCCCCTTTCAGCTGAAGCCCAGTGCCATAAGGAATCTGGGGAGGATCCCAGAGGGTCAGAGACTGCCCTCTCCCAGGACTTGTGATATATTGCATCAGGTTGCCTTAGAGCTTCATATGAATTTCGAGGAAGCTAGCTATCTTAACACATTGTACACCAGTAAACCAACATTCATCTCAGTTGCAGTATTGAGTCTGCTAATGCTTTTATGGGTTGCTAATGAGAAAATGTGAACCACAGTTGAATGACCAAATAAACGTAACAGACAACTAATAATGTATTGCCAATTGCTTTGCTTGCACAAATAAAGGTTCCTTATCAGAAGAGCCAGCTGGATCAGGCCAATAGCCCATCTAGTCCAGCATCCTGTTGTCACAGTGGCCAACCAGACGCCTGTGGGAAACTCACAAACACGGCCTGAGCTCAAGAACATTCTCCCTTCCCTTGGCTTTCAGCAGTTGGTATTAGGAAGATTTACTGCCTCCAGCTGTTGGAGGTAGAGCAGAGTCATTGTGGCTAGTAACCACCAATAGCTATGAATTTATCTAATCTTTTAAAGCTGCGAAGTCCTTAATCTCAGGGCTGTGGGTTCAAACCCCATGTTGAGTGAAAGATTCCTGCATAGGAGAGGGTTGGGCTAGATGATCCTTGTGGTCCCTTCCAATTCTATTATTTTATTTATTAAGTTGGTGGCCATCACTGCCTCCTGGGAGAGTTGAGTTCCATATTTTGACTATGCTCCATGAAGAAGTACTTCCTTTTATCTATCCTTGGTTTTGCATCTAGTAGATCTTAAGCACCAAAGCAGCCTACCATGAGGAAACCCATGAAACATATTTTCCTTTTTAAAGAGCAGATTACATATAAAATTACTTACCTCATACATGGCCACCATAATAATTTGCATGCTGTTTTGCCCAGAGCCTGCTCACAAAATGCTTCAGGGAGGCTAACTTTGCCCTTGCAGCCAGGTTTTCCTATGAATGTAGATTTAAAATGCATAATTAGTTGCTCATGAAATCCACTTAAATTAATTGATGTAGGTAGAAGTGTGATATTTAAGAAATTACAAGTGGATTTAGGCTCTCTAATTCAGTGGTAGAGCTCATCCTTTGCATACAGGTCTCGGCTTCAGTTCCCAACTTCTCCAGGTAGGGAAAGAATGGCTGCTGTCTGAAACCCTTTAGTTTTGGAGCAATGGTCTTTCTGATACAACTGGACTTCCAACCTCACCATTCCTGGCCGGCATGGCCAGTGGTCAGGTGCTAGGTGAGTTTTGGCCCAATATTTGACGGGCCAAACATTCCCAATCTCTGGCAAAGCCATTACAGAGCTAGATGTACGAATGGTCTGACTCAGTATACATAAAATCTTACATAGAAAACAGAAATATGAACAGTCTTTCAAGTTGTGGCTGTTAAGATGGCTTCAGTTTAGAACAAAGTAGCCTAACAGAGTTGATAGGTGAATAAAATCAGCACCAGCCTACACCACCTGATGTGGCTTCACTGTGACATGCAAAACAGTTCACAAGGGACAAAAAAATACAGGAGACAGAGACTATGCACTTACAGTGGTGCCCCGCAAGACGAAATTAATTCGTTCCGCGAGTTTTGTCATCTTGCAATTTTTTTCGTCTTGCGAAGCACGGTGTTGGGAAAGTTTTGGAAAAGCTTCAAAAATACCAAAGTCTTTAAAAACCTCAAAAAAGGCTACCACACCGCGTGCTATGAGCTGCTCCTCAAAGTCAAGTCGCAACTGCATTAACAGTGTTAAGAAAAAGGAAACAAACTTGCAAGACGTTTCCGTCTTGCGAAGCAAGCCCATAGGGAAAATCGTCTTACGAAGCAACTCAAAAAACCAAAAACCCTTTCGTCTTGTGAGTTTTCCGTCTTGCGAGGCATTCGTCTTGCGAGGTACCACTGTAATACTGCTCTCAAGGGATTTCAATCACCACCACGCCAGGTATGCTGGTGCAACTATTTCCTTTCAGCAGGAGAGTAAGCAGTTCAAGGAAAAGCAACAAATGCTCTGTCTTCCCCACTCAGAATGCCAGTTCTCTATATTGTAATTCCAATTTCTCCAAGTGCCCTTCCTTATGCAGCTAAGAAGAGCAACAGACACATGTAAGAGAAAGGTATCAGCAGACTTGATGACACCAAGGTTTGCAGAAGGACAAAGTAGTCTTTAGAGGAGCAGGGACTCCAAGAGGGGACCCCAAAACAGCTCAAGGAGAACTGAGTTTGCATGCTGAGCAATGCTGCGGAGGGAGGGGGGGGGAAAGCAATGTGAGCTTTCTAGAGAACCAGACGAAATGCAAGACCTGCCTGGGGGGTGGCGGGCTACTAAAATTTTAATCGGAACCAAATGGTACGGGTTGAGGGACTATTTTCTGCAGGTCCCAAGTAGTCTAGGAGGAGACGAATACCTGAATGACTGCTGCAAAGGCCAAATCTGAGGGGCAAATTTGTCTTATTGCCAGGCGGACTTGACGAAAAGGTCTTCAAGCTATTGCAGAAACCACTGGGTAATTCGGTTAAAGTGTGGTGCTGAGAACGTCGGGTTCACAGGTTCAGTCCCCCTAGGGGACAGCCACATGTCTTATTCCTGCATTGCTGGGGGTTAGACAGATGGTTCTCAGGGTCCCCTTCTAACTATGATTCCATGAAACTGGCCCATGATAGAGGAAAGTGTACTAAAGCTTGTGAAACAGTGGACAGAATGTGCATCCAGGGACGCGGACTTATAAAAAATATTGGGGGGGCCCGGGAAAGCTCATGAATAATAAATAAGCTCATGAATATGCAAATAAAGTGGCGCCGCCTCCTCGTGAGCGAATAGGGGAGAGCGTGCTGCGCCTATTAATCAGCTCCAAAGGAAATTGGGTGGAGCTTTTGCTCGGGAGGGAGGGCAGGAGGCATGCAGCCCGCCCCTCCCTGTGCATTTTGGGCTGGGGGAGGGGCGGCGATGGCGCTCTGCTGGAGGGGCGCCGGAGATTATTGGGGGGGCGGAGCCCCCCCAAACGAATTTTTGAGGGGGCTCGGGCCCCCTCAAGCCCCATGGAGTCGGCGCCTATGTGTGCATCCATCTCTCTCTTGCCTCAGGATCACAGGAGCAGCCATCTATTTTGGTTCCAGGTGGGAATGAGCTGCTTCTTCTTCTTGTTGTTGTTGTTGTTGTTGTTGTTGATGATGATGATGATGATGACATTATGCTCATCTGACTGGACTGCCCCAGCCACTTCGGGCGGCTTCCAACAAATTAAAATAGAACTTCAAAATAAAATCTGCCTACTTGCAATGAGTAACAAAAACACACAAATTTGTCCTTTGCTGCCACCTTGTGTTGGGCTACTGAATAACTCCCAAT